GTTTTGTGTTAGCCTCTATTACTAACAGAACCATGAGTGAGCCCTGCATCACTCATGCCATTTCTCACTAAGCCGCCAGGGGTCAGTGCGTGTCTGCTTGGAACAATAACACTGCATGGCCTCAAAGGTTTCTTTACTAGGTGGCTTTCTTTTTTTTAAAAAAAAATATATTTTATTGATTTTTTGCAGAGAGGAAAGGAGAGGGATAGAGAGTTAGAAACATCGATGAGACAGAAGCATCGATCAGCTGCCTCCTGCATACCTCCTACTGGGGATGTGCCCACAACCAAGGTACATGCCCTTGACCAGAATCAAACCTGGGACCCTTCAGTCCGCAGGCTGGTGCTGTATCCACTGAGCCAAACCGGTTAGGGCTAGGTGGCTTTCTTTATAACGTTTTCTGATATCAGATTTTTTATATTTTTAATTTTTATTTATTGATTTGAGATGGGGAGAGAGAAACATCAGTTTATTGTTCCACTTATTGATGCTTGATTCTTATACATAACCTGATCCGGGATCAGACAGACCCCCAACCTTGGAGAATTGGGACTACTCTAACGAACTGAGCTCTCCGGCAAGGGCAATGCAAGATTTCTTGAGGAAATACTTACTTGCTTTTCTTCATTTATTTTATTTGGAAGCTAATGAGAATCTACCACCAGTACCAAATATAGGTTGAACCATTGGGCCAAAAATGTCCCTTGTGAGTAAAACAGACCTGAAAAATAATGTGTTCAACCCTTGTCCTTGTCCATCTGTCTTTTTCACTATCTCAACAGTCATGAATAATCTTCTGGGCAAAACAATATTGACCCTCTGTGTAATGAATTAGAGATAACTGTCCATCATGTGTCCACATCTTTGTGATAGGAATCTTTGAGTAGCAAGTGACCCACTCGTAAGACTGTGAAAATGTCACTTAAAACTTGAAGAGACACGATGAATGACACGATGACCAGATCTTTGTGGAAGTCTGTCCAAGTGGGCGATCTTTTCTTTTTTTAATATATTTTTATTGATTTCAGAGAGGAAGAGAGAGATAGAAACATCAATGAAAGAGAATTATTGATCGGCTGCCTCCTGCATGTCCTCTACTGGGGACCAAGCCCGCAACCTGGGCATATGCCCCTGACTGGAATCAAACCTGGGACCCTTCAGTCTGCAGGCTGATGTTCTATCCACTGAGCAAAACAAGCCAGGGCAAGTGGGAGATCTTTTCAGCACAGCCAAGGCTGGGTCCATACAGTCTACTCTCTAAGCACTGAGTTTGCTTTGCCCTGGGGAATGTGAATTAATCCTTGATATCCTCAAAAAGCATGAGGGTCAGAAAAGGGAAAAGAGGTTATAATTGTTGTGGAAGAGATAAGGTTATGATTTTAATTACATGGGACCCTGTCTAAAGCAGGTCTCCTCTCTGTATGATAATTTCATCACTGCTCAGCCATCTGAGAGCAGAGTCCACTCCTTGGTTCTGGAATATTTTAGGCCCCTTGACCACCACCTGAGAGTGAAGACGTGACACATACCCCACAGGACACCTACTACATAAGGACACACTACCATGACTGGGAGATATAGCAGCTCTACCCAATACATAGACACAAACACAGGGAGGCTGTCAAAATAAGGAGAGAGAAACATGTCCCAAATGACTATCTACAATAATAAAAGAGAAACACGCAAATTAACCATCACTCCACCCACCAGCCAATCAGGATCAAGTATGCAAATTAACCCAACTAAGATGGCGGCGGCCACCGAGCTGGAGCAGGAGGCTTGGATTGACCCTGGTGATGGAGGAAGCCAAGCTTCCCGCTTGCCCTGGCTGGCCCTGGGCTCCGCTCAAGGCTACAAGGTTTCAATTGGGTCGCCGGGGGTTGTTGGCCAACCTGAAAACGGCCATCAGCCCCTCACCCAGGCTGGCCGGGCACCCCAGCGGGAAACCCCTCACCCCGACCCTGAAGGGGCTGTGTGCAGCCTGAAAACGGCCCT